AAACTGTACTAATGAAGTAACTGGACTGATAGTAAATACCATATCTCTATGAGGACCTTTATAAGCTGTACTAGCAAAGAGACTATTTTGATGGTAAATAATGTATCTCTATGGAACAATCTCTTGTGTGAAGAAGGTCACAAGCTAAGGTAGAAGTCAGAGCTATAATGTCCACTCCTGTATATGATATAGAAATATCACATTAATTACAAATAAAGACAAAACATTAGGAACAAAGATAATAATAAAGATAGAATTTAGAAGTCCAAACTCTTACTGAACTTTCTGAGTGCAGATTTGGGACAGTTTTTCTTCTACCACTTCTTAAATGTAATCTAATTTATTCTAAGGTGTATTTGTTTTCATGATTTTGCAAGGCAAATACTTATGTGTGTACATGGAGAGAAAGGAGGAACACTGCCCCCAAATTTAGATGAGGCATTTAGTAACACTGAACTTTCTTTCCTGAGATCTACTTCTGGTTTAGAATTGCAATGAGTTTTGCTTAAAAGTACCTTGGCAGTGATGGTAATATCCGTGATTTATCAGTTCATGCATTTGAACATCCTTTATTATCCCATTTTTGAAAAATGCTGCAATTTAGATCTTCATAAAATGAATAAATAAATTAATCCTTAACTGTGCTTACTCTAATGTTAAATTAAAGAAGTGAGGTACAAGAGCTAGTGTGGGTTCCTGGTTGAGGTCCATGATGTGGGATGAAGGGCTCATCCTGGCAGAGTGCTATATGTTACTCTTGCTACCTGTTCCACGTGTTACTGCCAGCAGAACCAGTCTCATTTCCACGTGTATCTTTAGAGTTGGGCCTTGTCCATGTGTTCTATAATATATCTATCCTTTTCTGCCCCATTGAATTCTTCTGGCTGACATAAGAATCTTTAATGTTCTGTTATCCCACTGCAGAAGCTTCCCCAAAGAGTGATGCTACAGAAATAACATGAAGTTTTCTCGGTTTTGTTTAGCTCAGTAACTAAGTCAAAGAGCATTTTAATGCAAAGGCTGAAATAGATATATATTTTTTTCAATATAAGGCTTTTCATGTAAGGTGTAAAATGGCAGATTCATGTTTCAGTGTTTTTGTCTCACAACAATAGATTTCTTGTCACCGTCTTATAATTGTTATTTTTGCTTTATGCTGTGTATTACAGCTTTAGCACAACACTTGGAGCTCTCACAAAGCATCTGCTTTTGGTAATCTGAGAATGTGGCTGAACATACTTAAGCTTTATTCATACATATGGATTGTTGTTAAAGAAAGGGGTCAACCTATCTAAAGAAAATTCTGACAAGCTTTCTTGATATTCATCTGATTCTTTCAAAGATAATAGAACAGTTTTAAGGTTGAGGAATGAGACATAAAGAGCTTATCCTAGTCTTTGGTACTCTGTAGGTCTGTGTTTTTCCAAAAGGTATTCATACTTTGTAACCCATGCAAAGTTCGTAGAGTTATGTTGATGCAATGAAAATGGCAATTGAGTCATCCTTGGGGATTTTATGGGCCATCATAAAAGAATAAAACAACATGCATGTCTCCTGAGCGAATTAAGAAAACCTTATTCAACAGCATAGCATGGATTCTGAAATGTTTAGCTTTGTTTCATAAGGTGAGAAAGATATTTTAAGAGCATATGACTCCCTTCTTTTTCGTAAATACTGTAGTATTTTTATTTTTTAAATCTGAGAGATATTTCACTTTGCAACTTATTAAGCTTCCTCTTCACTGGGTAGATCTTTAGTAATTCATGTGGCAGTCATGGCTTCCCTTCATTTAGTGCAGCATTCAGCAGCTATAGCTCTGCAATGACTAAGGAGACTGTGAACTGCAAAGCCTTAGCAGAATGTCTAACTAATGGATCATGTTCAGCTTCATAAAGCTGTGGGAGAAAGCAATTCAGGAATGAACTGGCTCACTCAATATCAAATCTGAAATTATTTACCTCAGGCAGAAACATATGACCGTTCTGTGTCTAACCAGCATACTTGCACCAACGCTTATCCAAAGAAGAAGCAAATAAACTGTTACAGAAGAACATAGCTGTATGTCATAAAAGCAAGTCTGTTTATTGACTATATATAACAATCAGACTTTGTTAAATTCTAGTCTGTATTCATTCACTGAATTGGAGGATTTGACTGATGACTGAAGATCACTTAGTTTCAGCAGTAATGCTCCATAGATTACTTTTGTAAAACAAACACAAGTAATCTGAAGGCATAATTAGTATATAAAATCCTTGTGTGTGGATTTGTAATACTCATATAACTTTGTTTCACTTCTAAGGTTTTACTTGGCTCAACAGTATCCTATTTCTCTAAACTACTGTGTTTCAGTTTGAGTTTTCATCCCTATGTGTTTCAGCTTCTTTCTATTTTCTTTGTGATTGGAAAAATTCCAGGGCAGGGGCTTTCTCCACCTAGAGTAGGCTCCATACTTGTCAGGTATAGTCACAGAACCAAAGAATACATCCAGAGTTGAAAAGGTCCTACAAGGATCATTGAGCCAAACCCTGGCTCTGTACAATTCCAACAAAAATTCAAGCCCCATTTCTGAGAGTGTTGTCCAAATGCTTCTTGAACTTCTGCAGGCTTGGTACCATGACCACTGCCCTAAACAGCTTGTTCCAGGGCGCTCTGGTGAAGAGCCTTTCTCTAACATCCAACGTGACCCTTCCCTGATACAGCTTGGTGCTGTTCTCTCAAGTCCTGTTGTTGTCAACCATGAGCAGAGATCACTGCTATCCCTCTGCACCCCTCCTGAGGAGCTTTAGGCTGCCATGAGGTCTCCCCTCAGTTTCTTCTTTAGGCTGCTCAAGCCAATTGAAGTGCTCAAAAAAAGCAGTACTAAGAAGTACAAGGAATTGCTTTGCACTATCAACTGGAAAACACAAAGATCATTTAACTGGTAAAATCAATTGGTACCTTTCACTGGTACCTGATTTCATTCTGCCTGGAGAAAAGAGGGGAAAAAAAACAACAGCAAAAAGCCTCGAAGCATATTTCCTTAAACTGTAATTATTTTGGCTTAGCTACCTTTACTTAAAGACATTGCTTTGGAAAATCTATTTTTATTTCGTCTGAGCTGAAGTAAGCAGACACCTTTTTAGCCTGGAGACCCAGTTTTTGCTAATACACTCAGTGTAACCTTCTTGATGAGGTGTAGCCATCAAAACAAACAAACTTGGATGGGTATAAGCATGTTAACAGACTGACCTTCCAGGAAAGTAGGAGTCCTGGGAACGGATGTCCTGCACTCACCTACATCTGCACCAAAAGGATGTAAAGTTGCTATCTACCCAAAATGAACTTCGTTACTTGGACAGCTGTCTTTACTTTGCTCATGAAGTTGCCATGTTATCATTTGGATACCCTATGATTCATCACCAGGAAGCTGGGTAGTCCTTCACTCAGTCTCTGCCATAAAGTGGCACTGGAGCTCTGAAAGGTTCCAACTGTGCATGAAAGCAAGAGGTTTACTCTGTTGGCCTGTATATCATTGTACCTGCTATACTTTAATGAGTCTCACTCATCAAGCAAATTCTCTAGTTCACTGCAAACAGTGTAAGTCTTGGCTTTATGTTGCAACACACTAGCATTTTGCTTATTCTTACTTGCTAATTATATGATGTACCAGTCACATTTGCAGCACCTGACATTTTGGCTTATGGTCTTTGTTTTTTCAGTGTTAAAAATTTAGTGTTTAGCTCACTAAACAGAGTGCAACCTCCAGACACAGCAACAATAAAAATGAATATATATATTATTTCAGTTAAAAGCTGTTCATCTGCCAAAAGAATCTTTGGGATT